TCACTGAGCAGAATGGGATGACAATCCAGTGGACCGGGTACCCGGTTGGGTACAACCCCATGGGGAGCAGCGAGGATTATATCATTAACCATCTCAAGTTCAGGGTTTTGGTTCACCCGTACCAGGCGCAAGGTGATGTTGTGGTCACAAGTGAGGATGGTGTTGCCATGGTTGAGTCCGATCGCAAGAGTGGCTTCCAGATTGTTGGGTTTGAGGTTGTTCCTTGCAGTGTGAAGCGTGATCCTGCAGCCATGGCCAAGCTCAAGATGTATGATAAGGTTGACTCTGTGAACTGCCCGTTGGAGCTTGAGAAATCTCAGGTGATCCGTGAGAAGGAGCAGATTACATTTACCTATGAGGTTGAGTATGTGAAGAGCAACATCAAGTGGCCGTCAAGGTGGGATGCATACCTGAAGATGGATGGTGCTAAGGTGCACTGGTTCTCAATCATGAACTCCATGATGGTCGTCTTCTTCTTGGCCGGTATTGTGTTCGTCATATTCTTGAGGACTGTCCGAAGGGATCTGACACGTTATGAAGAGATGGACAAAGAAGCCCAAGCTCAGATGAATGAGGAGCTTTCAGGATGGAAGCTTGTTGTTGGTGATGTCTTCAGGGAGCCCTGCTGCTCAAAGCTGCTGTGTGTTATGGTCGCTGATGGTATCCAGATCACCGGCATGGCAGTTGTTACAATCGTGTTTGCTGCTCTGGGTTTTCTCTCACCTGCTTCCAGGGGAATGCTCTTGACCGGAATGATCATCCTCTACCTCTTCCTTGGAATTATTGCTGGATATGTTGGTGTCCGCCTCTGGAGGACTATCAAACAATCCACAGAAGGCTGGAAATCTGTCGCTTGGCTGACCTCCTGCTTCTTCCCTGGCATTGTTTTCATCATCTTGACGGTGCTGAACTCCATCCTGTGGGGTAAGAAGAGCACTGGAGCTTTACCCATTTCACTCTTCTTCACCCTCTTGGCCCTGTGGTTCTGCATCTCCGTGCCACTCACTCTTATTGGAGGCTTGCTAGGCACACGGGCTGCAAGCATAGAATTCCCTGTCCGTACCAACCAAATCCCAAGAGAGATCCCTGAGCGCAAGTTCCCTTCATGGCTTCTTGTGCTCGGTGCGGGAACATTGCCTTTCGGCACCCTTTTCATTGAGCTCTTCTTCATCCTTTCTAGCATCTGGCTGGGGAGGTTCTACTATGTCTTCGGCTTCCTGTTCATTGTCCTCTTCCTGCTGGTCATAGTCTGTGGTGAGGTTTCTTTGGTCCTGACCTACATGCATCTTTGCGTGGAGGACTGGAAGTGGTGGTGGAAAGCCTTCTTTGCCTCTGGCTCTGTTGCTTTCTTTGTCTTCCTATACTCCATCAACTACCTGGTGTTCGACCTCAGGAGCCTGAGCGGGCCAGTCTCCGCGACGCTCTACCTGGGCTACTCCTTGATCATGGCATTTGCCATCATGCTGTCAACTGGCGCCATCGGCTTCTTGCTCTCGTTCTACTTCGTCCACTACCTCTTCTCGTCCGTTAAGATTGACTAGAAGCCCCCTGCGGTAGTGTCACCTGATTCTGGTGATAGTTATCCCTTAGAAAACACAAACACAAATAATTGTCAAACTGAAAAATGGAAACATATGGTGATTTACATGGCTTAGCACAGTTACTCCAGCTTATGTTTACTTCTTAGACATGTTTGTAATGCTTCGGCTATGTTCTCTTGCCTTTTTTGTAATAGTATTATGTTTTGCTTGCTCTGGGCGTTTGTGAGCAGCAAATTTTGTTATTGGGGACTTGTTGAAATATGAAATGGGCAAATTTGATTACAGCTCCTTGCGATCTGTTTTGACGTTTTAGTGCTGGTGAGGTGTGTTGCTACACACATGTTCGAAAAATTTGTAACCAGATTGTCTTGTTGAAGGCTGGGCAGTTTTACACTGCCACTTGGGTACGCTGTTGATCATTTGCTTCTTGTGTTCTGAAGTTTGAATCAGTTCTACTCCTTCCGTCCCATAATATAAGAGCGCTTTTGCCGAATGTAAAAAACGCTCTTATATTATGGAATGGAGGGAGTATCTGTATCGGTGATTGTTTATTGTCTGTTATGGTCACCACAGGTAGGTCTGGAAAAAAAGCTCGAAGCTCGCGAGCTAAACAAGTAGCTCGTGACTCGGCTCGAATCGACTCGAACTCGAAGAATAACGAGTCGAGCCGAGCTTTAGTTTAAGATCGTTTACAAACCAAGTTAAACGAGCCAATCTCATAAGTACTCGTGTAACTCGTTAGACTCGATACAATAGATCAGCCAATCCCAATACAAAGAAAGATCAGCCACTAAACAGCCTAGGTCTCAGGTGCACAACCTAAGGCCCAGCCATTGAAGGCCTAGCCTCCTAGAAGACTCATGCATTACAAGGAAATTACAATTGTTTAGTGATATATATTTTTAATATATACATAATCATTTTTATTATATTTGAGGGCTTTATGTTTATATATTAAACGAGCTTAACAAGCTAAATGAGCCAACTCGCGAGTTATATGAGTCGAGACAATCTTGGGTTTGAGCTCGTTATAGTAACGAGTCGAGTCGAGCTAGCTCGTCACGAAACGAGCTCTAGCGAGTCGAGTCGAGCTGACTTGACTCGGCTCGAGTTCCAGCCCTAACCACAGGTTTGTTTTAGCGAAACCACGAGCTTTGTGGTTATTGGTGTGTACAAGTGTACTATCTTTGCGGCGCCACTTGGGATAATTGTAGCTTTAAAGTTGATGATGTAGCGAACATATTGTAATATGATTGCTCATGAATCGGTTTAGTTGGCAAGACGAAATGTCCACTCCGCGGTTTGGCGGCTAGCTTCTCTGATTTGCATCGGGGATCTCCTCGTATTAGATTGTAATCATATCATTATCATTAATCAATAAAGCTCCCATTTATCATAACAAAGAACATCTTGTGTGTGAGCCTTTTTCTAGCATATATTCCTTACCTAGTGGATAACCTCAGCAGCCTCAATTCTTAGAGAGTTGGTTCTGCGCATCTTTGAGGTGGAGAGGCCAGATGTATTATGTATCATCTCGGTTAATGCATTAGTGTAGTGTATCATCTTAGAGAACTGGGGATCTCCTCAATTCTTAGGGCACTTCTAACCGATCCCCAATTTTTAACGGACTGTCCCATGAAGTAACCTTTAGTGGAGTATTTTTACTCCACTAAGTTTTTGTTGGACCTAGCCGATCCCACACATATATATAACGGAGTAAAAATTCAAATTTGCATAAAAGTTTAACCTGCTTTTGAATTAAACAATCGCAATTGGCCATATTGTCATGACAACCGATTTAAATAACCAAAATTTAACACATTGCCTTGACAACTGAAATTTAAACTAAACTTAAACTTGAAACTAAATATAATCTTATCTTCATCCTCATTCTTGTTGTAGTAGAGGTCGAGCCAATCTTGCATCGACATGCCACCGTCCATTGGGTCTAGGCCGGTGCCGACGTCGTCGGAGTCGGGGAAGATGCGCGACCACTTCTCGGCGTCGAACTCCTCCTCCGCGTTGCCGTCGTCATCGCCGCCTTGCTCCTCGTCGCCGAAGATGACGATGACCTCGCCATTCATCGTCCGCTCTGCGAAGATGGCCCGCTTCGCCTCCACGAGCTCGGGGTGTTGCTGACGGAGCTCCGCCATGTATTCCTCGGCGGCGGCCTCCGCCGTGAGGCGCTCCCTCGCCTCCCGGTCCTCCCAAGCCGTCGCCGCATCCACCACACCCGGCGCCGGCGGGACGGAGTGGACCGCCGCTGTCCCAAATGAGAAGTTCAGGCATGCCGTCGCACCGTGTTGCCCGACTTGCCACCAGTCATATTCGAGCGCGGCGGGCTCGTCGGTGTGGAACGACCCGATCCATTTTCGCTTGTGCGTCTTGCGTTCGGTGATCTCCGCAACCCAAGTCCCCCACGCGCTCTGGCGGACGCCGATGTATTTCCTCTGCGGTTCCTGCAGCGAAGGGAGCTCGGGGAAGTTGGCGATGCGGCAGGCAGTGGCGGCTTGAGGACGTGCCGCTCGAAGACGAACCATGGGCATGACGGCGCGGATCTGTGCTGCGCCGCGGGGAGCGCCGACGACGGGGGCCGGCAACTGGGATGTCGGGAGCGTCGGAGAAAGGCGGGGGGGAGTCGCCGGCGGCGGGGGATGGGGTGGAGGAGAGGAAGAGGAGGCGGCGAGGAAGAGGAGATGAAGTGAAGAATTTTTATTCGGCCGCCGAGCGGTGGAGTAAATATAGGGAGGCGCGGCGCAGCTGAGGATAATTTATCCTCCACTAACATCGATTGGGGATGGCTAGGTTTCGGTTAGAGAAGTAAAACCGAGTTTTTACTACTCTAATCGGTTATTGGGGATCGGTTAAAATGCCCTTAGACACTGGCGGCTCGTAAAAGTTTAGCTTTGAACTAAACAAACACCTAAAGGCAAAATGTATGAACGAATTGTACGTCTTTTGAGTGTCGCATGTTGTATTGTTCGAACGCCTACGTTTTGCAGGTTTGTGCAGGAAAAATAATTGATCGGTACAGGTAGACCTAGCACTATATTTGGACACCTGCACGTTGCCCACGAGTGTCGCACGACGTAACCTCCATTTTATTTTAAAAGTAGAAATACCAGTTCCTCTTGTTTTTTGAGTAGATAGAGTCCAGTGGATCGATTTTCATATGTAACGGTAGATGACAGAACCGAGGGTCATGTGTCACAAATGCCTTTGTGTCTGCCTGCGGTCCACAAAATGATGTGGTGGACTCTGGATCTGCAGTTTGGGAGAGCCGAAGCAGAGCAACTTCTGATTCTATTCTATTCTAGTACTACCGAACCAACCATCGCAAGGGATTTGGCGACAGAGGAATCTTTCTTTTCTTTGTAGTATATGATGAAGCTGGCGTTCACTTTACTGGCCTAATGTCCCGGACAGACATTCCAAGGAGAAAACAGGAGGAGAGAAGCCATGGGAGGAAGAGGTGGCGATCCCCAAACAGGGCCGCTGCTGGAGAAGCTCCCGGAGTCCTCTTGCAGTTCATCCGAGCCCGAGGAGCATCCGGTCAAACGAACTGGTAAGCCCTCTTGTCCCATCACCTGATCTATCAGGAGGTTACATATCTTGATTTCATCAATTCGTTGGATGTTTGAAACTTCTGGCCGATGAACTTCGTTGTGTTCATGCCTTCATGTTATCTGGAATTCAATGCATGTGAAATCGTAAACGGCAAACCATCTGCCATGGCATATGTGAGCTCCGTAGAGAGCATTCATGTCCGCCACAGACCCAGATCTTGTTCAAGTTTCAGAGGAACTAGCTCGCTCGCCAGAGAAGAGATTGGCCAAACCGCCAGCACTCAATAGGATTGTTGTAACATCGCATTCATTTGACAGCACCATTGCACTCTGGACCCGGCCGGCAGCCACAATTCCCCAACATCCAATTACTTGCCCGTGTGTCCGTAATTACTTACCGCCGGAAATTTTGATTGATTCGTTGAGCTTTGGATGGACAGGCACGGTATGGACGGCGTCCGCGCACATCATCACGGCGGTGGTCGGCTCCGGCGTGCTGTCGCTGGCGTGGAGCGTGGCTCAGCTCGGCTGGGTCGGGGGGCCGGCGGCCATAGTGTTCTTCGCGGGGGTCACCGTGGTGCAGTCCTCCCTGCTCGCCGAATGCTACGTTTCTCGAGGAGATCCGGAGCGTGGCGGCCTCATCAGGAACAAGTCTTACATGAACGCCGTGAGGTTTTACCTAGGTGATGTGATGATAACCATAACTAGCTTACTCTCTCTGTTCGAGTTTATTAGTATATTGGTCCAAGCTGTGAGTTATGATTAGTGGGCATCGTTTTTCTATAAATGTAGCTTTGTGAATGCTATAGATTATGCGTAGATAGCAACGGAATTTTGATATGCATAATATTACATCGGCACAGGTGAGAAGAGGCAGATGTTCAGCGGATTTTTCCTTAGCATCAGCCTGTTTGGGAGCGGCGTGGTGTATACTCTCACCACAGCCACTAGTATGAGGTAAAGCATATCTAAACATAGTACTTGCATACATAGCGTGGCATGTGTTTATTGGTTGCAATGTAGCACCATGACATGCTAAGAAATAATGATGCCAAACCATGACATGCTCAGTCAAGGGCTTAGTGATGGCCTTTTTCATGCGTTTAGAGGTCATCCAGTAGTGGCTAGTGTAATATAACCAATAGTGTAGTGGGTGGATGAGTGCTTAATAACCAAAAAAAGTTCTAAAGCGAAGTCGTTTTCATAAGATAAAATGTGGACGCAATTTAATCTAGACCTACACTATGCCTCTCACTGTCATTACTTTTTTCGGTACCAAAAGAAGTTTCTTTAATTGGCACACTGTGTGGCATACCTATTCATGCGGTGTTCCAATCAGCTTTCAAAAGGTTTGGAATTTTCAGACCAAAATCAATGGTCATGCCGGTACCCAACAACCTTTTGTCCGGGTGCAAATCAAAACAATTATTTTGCACTAAATTTATACTTGTAGAACTTATTTTTTATTACTCTAGTTCACATAATTAACCACACAACGATTTATTAAAAATATTTTTTCTTTACTATACCACACTAAAACATTTGTTACTCCTAAATTTATATTGTATGATGTGGCAACATTCTTATTAAATTAAATTATGACAATTGCGTAAAGTATATAGTGTGTGTGTGTATATATATATATATATATATATATATATATATATATATATATATATATATATATATATATTGCTTGTATATGCATGTGTCTGATTATTTTACTATAAATATCATGGTGGAAATCTCCAAGGCATACTGTCTAATAAATACTCTAATAGTGATTTCTAGTATATTATTAGGCAAGTGTATTCAAACTTCAGAGTATAATTTGAAGTTGGATTCAACAATTAGTTGTACTTGACACTTGGCACTAGTTGTACATTTGCCTACATACAATTTGATATTGGCTTGCTCTTCCGAAATGCACTTGGTTTTATTTAGTGTATTCTACAGCTCATGCCAACCTCTCGCAGCCCAACTCACCACCCACCAACTCGGATTAGTTTGTTCTTAGGTGGTACATCTTATTAGTATTTTGTGTTCTGCCAACAAGGATGCTACCAAAATGCGCTACATCCTCTTTCTACATCTTTTAATTAACGGTGGGCCAATGATGATATCTTTTGGGTGGTGAAGGTAAAGCCCTCATTGGTAGAAAAAATAATACAGCACATCTTGTGCTTGGAAGTAGAACTAGGAGAAATAAAACAATGTTGCATCAAGAGACAAAGCATAATGAGAATATACCCAGCCTCTACATGACTAGGATGCACACAACCAAACTCTAACTCACCCACACGATGATAATAATATCAGCGGCAACAACAAAGTCATACTAGACTGAAATTATGCTTATGCGAAGTGGGTGGAGGACCTATCCGTACACTATATGTTCCTCTACTAGTCTGGGGTAAAAAAATATCCTTGGCCACCTGCTCCAAATGCGTACATACCGTGGTGAAGAACCCTCTGGTTGTTGTAGAGTAGGCGACAAACATAGCCAATGAGTGATATATAACCCGCATTGGAGATAAGATTTTACTATTGAAAACTATGGCATTTTCAACATAGCCAGAGTGACACTCCCACCCATATAAATGCACCAAACTTGTGGGTATACCATAAAGCCACTAACCGTACATATTGACAACACTGCAAGACGAAACCAAGTTGGATGCGACTTGGATGACTTACCATATAGAACACGAAGAAGTGCATTGAAAGAGGAGTTTAATAGTCTCGTCATGATAAAAAAACACTTCTTACTTCTCTTCTCTGTTAATTGCGGTGAGCGAGATTGTCCTTTGTCAGAACCATGCCTTGACTAAGATACCAAATGAAAAACAAATGAATAATTAAGTGATGGATGACCAGTGTTTCAATTCAAAGCTAACACACCACTCGTTCTTTGATTCTGCTGGAGGCAATCTTCCTCCTACGTGATATTTGTTCTCTACTTTTTCTAGTGTTGCCTCTCCCCTCCCTTCCAAGTACACTCGGTTTGATCATGCGGTCAGTTGTTTCTTCCATCCAACCTTAGTGCCGCATGGAGGTCTAGGGTTTGGGTGAATTTAGGTTGTCACGATGGCCACGGTATGGCGGCGAGTGCATTAGGGGTTGCTGGCTTTGGGTCCTCGGGATCTTCTTTGACTCTTGATGACACATTGAAGAATCTGGACCTGCACAACAACAAACTCAACAATGTATGTGTCATTGAGGAAGATCTGAACAACCTACGCAAGAGTGGGGATTGGTCAGCGGTTGTGCGGTCGGCGGTTGTGCACATGCATATGTTGCTCCCTTTTGGTGTGCAATCCTTCATTAAGACAACAAAGGCTGCATGGAGCATGTCATGTAGATTCAAACACCTCATGGTTGGGATCTGCCTTGTGTGAAGGGATCTGCCAGAATCTTCGATGTGTTTATATAGCCCAATGTTTTAACTCAGGAGTTTCTCATAAATCTAACAGATTTCAGTCTCCTTCTTACATGTATTCACGTCTTCTTATTATTCTTAGAGTTGTTTACCTTGACGATCACTTTTTGATTATCACATTCATTAGTATAGCTGGTATTGGTTTTTCAACCACCGGCATGTTCATAAAAAGTTCTCGAAGCCACTCTGCTTCAACTATTGTTGTGTCTAATGCTGCGAGTTCTGCTTCCATGGTTGACCTCCTTAAGATGATATGCTTGCAGGACTTCTAGAAAATAGCACCACCACCAAGTGTAAACACATAACCACTTATGGCTTTAAACTCATAAGCATGTGATATCCAATTCGGATCACTACAACCCTCAAGTACCCTTGGATACTCGATATAGTGAATTCCATAACTCGCAATACCTTTTGGACAACACATTATCCTCTCAAGAGCATGTCAATGAACATCTCCTTGGTTTGAAACAAACCGGCTTAGTTTACTCACAACAAACAAGATGTCAGGCATCGTAGCGCTAGCAAATACATAAGCGAGCCAATGATTTAAGAATATCTCAATTGATTCTTTGTTTTCCCTTCATTCTTTCGAATCAACACACTCGGATCATAAGGTGTTGGGGAACTTTATAATTTGAATATCCAAAGCGACTCAGAACCTTCTCCATATAGTGAGACTGCAACAAAGTAATCCCACCATCATCACCTCTCAAAAGCTTCATGTTCAAGATAACATCAGCTACTCCAAGGTCTTTCATCTCAAAGTTATGATTTAGAAAATCTTTCACTTCCTCAATGACCTTGAGATTTGTTTCGAATGTAAGTATGTCGTCTACAAACACAATGTATCTCCCTCGCCCTCACCATCGCAGTAGCACACACATTTGTCAGCTTCATTTCCAACAAAGCCCGTAGATGTCAAAGTTCTTTCTAACTTCTCATGCCATTTTTTGGTGCTTGTTTCAAGCCATACAAAGATTTCAACAACTTACTCTTCATGACAATCTACTACAAAACCATCAGGTTGTTCCATGTAAATTTTCTCCTCCAACTCTCCATTTAGGAAAGTTGTCTTAACGTCCATTTGACGAATGAGAAGATTGTGTGAGGCAGACAATGAAAGTACTACTATAATGGTGGTAAATCTAGCCACGGGCGCATAAGTATCAAAGAAATCTTCATCCTTTTTTGGTATTACCCTTGGCTGCAAGTTGTGCCATGTACTTTTAATTTGTACAATCAGGCCTAAGCCTTTAAACACCCACTTACATCCTACATGTTTACACCCATAAGGACGATTACTAACCTCCCATGTCCCGCTAGCCATGATAGAATCTGTTTCACTATGTACACCACCTTTACAATAGTCACCGTCAGGAGATGCATAACCTTCTGAAATAGAAATGAGAGTATCATTCACGAGATACACAGTGAAATCTTTACCAAATGGCTTTGTTGTTCTTTGTCGCTTTGCCCCTTCTAGGAGCTTCATTGTCATCCTCCTTAGGAATCACAATGTGTTTCCGCTTCGAATGTTCCAATGGAACAAAAGGTTTGGGAGTTATCTCCGACCTCTGATAAGATGAGATAAGCATGTCTTTCATAGGAGAAATATCCTCAAAGGAAGTCGCATAATCGACTCTGTGATTGTACCAACATTCATGTCAGATATCTAAGATTTCATCACTAGAAATCTATAGTAAATGCTATGAAAAGCATATCCTAGAAAAACATAAACAACATTTTTTGGTCCAAGCTTACGCTTCTTAGGAATTGACATGTTGATTTTCGCCAAACAATCTGTAGTTCGTAAGTAAGCCTCAAATGTGGTAATATCTTTATTCCTTGTGGGAACTCTTTTTAGGGCATGACTTGCAATGATTAAAGCCTCCCCCACAATTCCTTGGAAAGTCCTGTTGTGTCCAACATCCGGATCCAACCATCAAAGGCCAGATTCTAAGTTTTCACCATGAAGAGCAAATCCGAGCATATTCGAGCAATGTCTTCAACAAAGCAATGACATAAAAACATCCTTACTGCAAGGTGTAACCAAAACTCAGATCAAACCTAGGGTTTTCACCTGGAGCTTAAGACCGAGTACTCAAGAAGCACCACCACATCTAAGTCAATCATGTTTTGTCGCCACCACTTTTCTACCGCTCGGTCGCTCTTGGGACTGCACTTACTCATTTGAAATTCTTTTTAGAATCAATGGATTTGTCACAAGCCATTGGATTCTAATCCATCGGTTGTGCCCGCTTCTTCCTCCTCCAACCACTCACCGCTTCTTCCTCCTTCAACACACAGCTCTCTTCGAACACTCTGGTGACCACCATCTCTCCTCCGACATTGACAAAATCGCGTCGTCCCCGCCTCCGGTGAGGTCCCGGCGAGGCAGCGGCCAGTCACGTCATTCCCGGCTCGAGCTCTGCCGGCTATCCAATAGGAGTGGCGGTGAAAACGAAAAGGCCCTACCCGCACCACTCAACCCTTCCTCGCCTCCGCCAGCGGGTCGTAGCCAGCCGCGTCGTCCCCGGTCTCGGCCTGCTTTCCTCTATGCTCAAATGGACTAACACTTTGCTAAGTGGAACTTTTGTTTGTTGGGATCATCAGTCTGGTCATGTGTTTTGTGGCTTTTTATATTAGTCTTTCTCATTTTGTTTGCGAGGCTGTCACACTACTTTCTATGTTAGTCTTGGTGGTACCAGGTTTTTGCCCCGTAATAGGTGATTCGATGTCGAGCACCTATAGCAGGTTTCCTAGTAGCTGCTCCAACTCGCTCTCTCTTTCTATAGTTCCCTTTGCTCGATGGTTCTTGGTAGTTAAACCGGTTGTACAACAATAACCGGATATTGTTACCTTTCCGTTGAGCGATTAATGAAACAGAAAGTTGTGTAACTCGAGTTCCATGGTACCCTCAAAATAAAAAAATAAAAAAAACCCAAAAAAATCTGAAATTTTGTGACACTGTTTATGATTAAAATTCTTACATGCATGCAAAAATTGGTATCCATACGACATCGGATGAGCTAAAAAAACAGTTCTGGTCAACAATGCACACATGTTCGAGCATCAATTTTGTTATTTCCTCTATGGGCTCTTAGAAAGTTATTTGGACATAAGATTTTGCAAGCACCTACAACATTTGATCATAATCAATCTCACAAAGTTTCAGAATTTTTTTACTGTTCAGAGAGGGTGCTTGTCTGCACTGTTGACCAGAACTGTTTTTTCTTTCAGTTGCTGAAATACCGCTCTCTTATTGGTTGTTGTACTCTGATTTATCAGGGCGATTCATGAAGCGAACCGCTACGGCCGGGAAGGCCAGGGCGCACCGCTCTCCACCGCCGCCGCCGGTGGCTCAGACGTCTACTACATGCTCCTGTTCGGCCTCGCGCAGGCAGTGCTGTCGCAGATACCGGACTTCCACAACATGGCGTGGCTCTCCGTCTTCGCCGCCGTCATGTCCTTCTTCTACTCCTTCGTCGGCTTCGGCCTCGGCGCCGCCAAAGTGATCGGTACGTGCGTGCGTCTCAGATAGCACGACGCACTCGATCGCACACATGATCGGCCATGTGACAATTCCTTTCTTCAGAAAATGGGGTGATCAAGGGGGGAATCGGAGGCATTCCCCTGGTATCCCCGGTGCAGAAGGTGTGGCGCGTCGCACAGTCCCTCGGGGACATCGCCTTCGCCTACCCTTACACCTTGGTGCTTCTGGAAATAGAGGTAGGCCGGTATGCATTTGCATATGCACAAAATGCCAGTGCGCTTGCATGCGCTCTAGTGTAAGGAAAGGGACCGAGCTGACACGGTATGATCAAGCAGGACACGCTGAGGTCGCCGCCGGCGGAGAGCAAGACGATGAAGAAGGCGTCGAGGGCAAGCATCGCGGTCACCACCTTCTTCTACCTCGGGTGCGGGTGCTTCGGCTACGCGGCGTTCGGCGACGGCACGCCGGGGAACCTCCTCACCGGCTTCGGCGAGCCCTACTGGCTCATCGACCTCGCTAACCTCTGCGTCGTCCTCCACCTCCTCGGCGGCTACCAGGCAAGCACCTACTGCTATCCTATGTATGTACCGCGTGCAACCGCGACCTAACGCCGCTCGCGAATTACGTATGTGTTCAGCTGTACAGCCAGCCGGCGTTCGCCGTCGTGGAGCGGCGGTTCGGCGTGGAGGCCTGGGTCGTCGAGGTGGAGCTGCCGCTGCTCGGCTGGCGGCGGCGCGTGAACGTGTTCAGGTTGTGCTTCCGCACGGCTTACGTGGCGGCGGTGACGGCGGTGGCTGTGTGGTACCCCTACTTCAACCAGGTGGTGGGGCTCATCGGCGCCTTCACCTTCTGGCCGCTGGACATCCACTTCCCCGTCCAGATGTACCTTGCGCAGAACAAGGTGGCGCCGTGGACGACGCGGTGGCTCGCCATTCAGGCCTTCAGCGCCACCTGCTTGCTCGTCGCCGCCTTCGCCTCGGTTGGCTCCGCCGTGGGGGTGTTCGGCCCCAACAGAAGCTAGCTAGTATAGTAGCCTAGTAGGCTAGTACATATGCGGTTCGATCACTTAATTTTCTTCAGCTCGCAACTGCAGCAACCCTGATTTTTGTGTAGCTACGAATGTGTTAATTTGTATAAAAAAACGTAAATCCTGCCTTATGAAAAGCATTATAAAAAAACACTTCGATCAACATGACAATACAAAGATCACAAAAGTAACAATCATTTTTGTAGGCCAGTTGGCGACAACTACAAATACACATCCGAAGGTGCATTGCCGTCATCACCCCAGCTCTAACAGACTCTAGAGCATCTCGTAGCAGATCCCTATCCCATTTCCCTTTTTTTAGGGAACCACTGTTGCTCATCTAGTAGATCCCCTGTCCTAAAACTTGGTTGATTTATAAGTGTTGTCTCTCGTGCAAACTAGAGTCATCAGAAGCATGTGCAATAGTTCTAGAGAACTAACCTACCTAGCTAGTTCTGCAATAGATCTGGGTGAGAATGGGCGGCGACGACGTCCTGGGCGGCGCCGCAAGGCCTCCGGACGCGAATCCGCCGGGCGCGCTGCCGTCCGGCGCACGTTGGCCGCCAGTCGCGAGTCCGACCCCATCACCTCCGCCGGAGATCTCAGAAGATAACACCGGGGATGATGAGATCCGGGTCATGGCGGATCAGTGGGTGGTTCGTTTCTCGGATCCGAGCTGCGGGTGGATCGAGGGACGGCTACAGCACTCTCCGTCATCGCGCTGGACGTCACTTCGTGATATGGATAACGACATCCTTGCCGGCGATTACCTGACGGCAGACGTTCAGATCGAGGTAGGGATGCGTTTTCTTTTAGTTGACTTCGATGTCCAGGTGTTGTCAGTTTTGCAGGAGGTTCACACAGAGAAGATCGAAATGATCGATTTGACGGCGACGCCTGAGACGATGCGGGAGGCGTCCGCGGCCATTGCACAGGTAATCCACATTCCGAGCGACCGGGACGACCGGGGCGACGCAACCACCCGGCCGACGAGCGCCGAGAACATGCACTCGGGGGTGGTGGATCGGGTCGGCGGCCGGTTTTGGGTGCTGGCCGGAGCCGACGAGGATGATGCGGACGGTGACGGTGGCGAACCGGACGCTTCTCCACCAACGCCGACCCCATCTGACCTAGTCTGCGAGTTCTTCCAAGCGGGCTATGATGAGGACGAGGTGGCCTCGACGGTGGATAGAGTGCTGCCAGTTGAAGATCCGGCAAGGGTGGGGCTTCATGCGGGAGAGAAGAAAGAGATGGTCCGGCGAGTGGTTCACCGTCGAACGGCGGCGACGGCGGTCCGACCATGGAAGGGTCCCCTTCCAAAGGTGAGTCTACCGAACCTGACTCTTTTCGATATGATTCATCCGGACTCTTGGATACAAGTGAAACGGAAGAAGAGGCCTGTCCGTTCTGGCAGTGTGCCGGCGGCGGCCATGGTGAGATCGCCGGCGAGTCGGTTGATCTCGATCTCGAAACAGCGGGCGACGCGTTTGAACGCTCTCCTGGGCTGTGCGCCCCAGGGCCTTCCTGACGGGCCGGTTCTGAGTGAGCCGGGCTCTGTTTTGGGTGGGCCTGAGGTAACCGGGATTGAAGCCCAGGTTAACTTGGACAGTTTTAGAGGGCAGATCGCTACACCCCCATGCACGATCGACGGGTCGACAGAGGTTCCTCGTCCGAGGCGGCCTAGGGTTCTGCTGCCCAGGCTGCGCTCCTGCTTCTCTGATCGTGGGGCGGGGCGTGCTCGCCGGGTGCCCGCGCTTCGTTGTATGGCGGGCGGAGGCCTTCCTCCGGCCAAGGCCGGCGCTCAGGCCGGCGTCCCGGGCAGTGTGGGGCGCGGAGGCTTGCCTCAGTCTGCGGGAGGCGGCCGGGGCGGAGAGGCGGCCTCCATGGCCGCGGGTCGGGGCCGCTCGGGTCTGCGCGCGGCCGCTCCTCCGGCCTCAAACCAGGTGGCCCAGGGGCCAACTGGCGCCCGACAATCTCTGCACGGCGGCCAGCCCAGGCCAGGCGCGGTCGGCCGCGGAGCTGTGCCGGCGGGTAGACTCCCGCCTCCTATCGCCGGTCGGGGCGGACTTAGGCCACCGGCACCTTTCCCTACAGCGACTGCGGGCCAGGGTCATCGGCCACCTGTTCCAGCGCCGGCTGGACAGCCACGTCCTCAGGCGATGCAGGCCGGGGCCCGACCGCCGCTGTTCGTGCCTCGGCAGTCGCACAATCCGACGGCACCGGCTTTGGAGCAGGCGCAGCTGCAGATGGCTCCGGTGAGGGGGGGTGACTCGTCGGTGCCCCGTGCTCAATGGGGTGATGATGGTATCGATGCGTATGGTGACGGACAGCACCGGGGATCCTCGTCCACAGGTGGTGGGCGGGGGCATGCTTGGCAAGGTGATGGCTCGACCGAGAGACCTTTCCTGGGGCCTACGGGAGGTTTCGTCGAAGGGCCAGCCGGACCAGCTCATAGGAACCGTGGTGGCTTTCGTGGTAACCGTGGTGGACGGGGCGGCCGAGGTGGTCGCTATCGCCCAAGGCAGCAGCATGTTGTCGTCAATCAGACACCGATTGATGATACTGAGTTGACTTGCCAGGCTATGGAGGTCGTTACAGCATTGGCGGAAGCTGTTCCTGCTAATAATGGCGAGGTTGAGGTAATGTCAGTGGAGGGATCTGAAAAAGCTGAGCTGGACAGGGCGGCTAAATATGCGCGAAAAAAAGAAAGAATGTTATGCTATCGCTGTGGCAACAAAGGCCACTTCATTGCTGAGTGTGTGGCGGTCTTATGCGATACGTGTGGTAAGCCGGACCATGAGTCAGGGGCTTGTCCACTTTTGAGGGAGCAGCTTCCAAAGCTGATGATGTATGGGGTGTTCTGTTCAGAGCTCACGTTTTTCGAGTCTCCGATGGAGCAGGAGGTCTCGGATGAGGTGCACGGTGGGACATCTGGGATAGTAAAAGTGACTAGAGGTGAAGTCTCTGAGGCCCAAATTGTGCAGCGGCTCCGGGAGCTGGCACCGGGGGACTTCCTATGGGAGTTAGTCCGTCTTGAGCCAAACTCGTTCAGGGTGGAGTTTCCATCGGTGGAGGATCTACAGAGGTTATTGAGTTTCGGGATGTGTAAGGTGCCAGGTACGGAGGGCATTCTGGAGTTCCACGAGTGGAAATTGAGTGAGCCTCAGGGTACGCCACTTACCCAGGCCTGGTTGCGGTTTTCGGGGGTACCACACAGGCCCTTGCAGGATGCCAGGGTTGTTGCTAGTATGGCTGTTTTGGTGGGAAAGCCCGAGCGAGTAGATATGGCTTTCACCAGAGCTAAGGGAGTGGCTCGCATCCTAGTCAGTATCCTAGACATTGAGTATGTTCCGGACGTGGTGAAATGGGCTTATCGCGGTCAGGTGTATAACCTTCAAATTGAGTTTGAGGATGACAGTCTGTTTGCCGACACACCTGTTTCAGTGGACGTTGATATGCACGAGGGGGATGATGACAGGGGGCGCAAGGAGCTTCCGGTAGATGATCCTGGTCCAGAGGCCAAGGGACCGGGGTCTCGGGTCAAGACCACCGGCGGGGATACGGCACCTCCTTCTTCGGTGCCGACGACCACTCTGAGGTTTGGTACCTTTGAGCCAGCTTCGGCACCCCCGAGACTATGGAGTGAGCGGGTGGAGTGTTCTGAGGTTTTCGAGCATTCCTTACCTGCGTTGGACCTTGAGGGTCCGAGAGTGGAGGTTTCTGGACTGGAGGAAGGTCCGGCGATAGAGATCTCGCCTACCTTGGATAATGTTGGCACGTCTGAGGTGCGGGTCGTGACTACGAGCTTGGAGGGGGGTCGCAGGCAGGAGCCTTCGGTCCCTTATCACCAGATGGCTGCGATCAGGGTTCCTGAGAGGGACGAGTCATTGTCGGTTGGCCGGCTGACTGCTGCTTCTTCTGCTGGGCGGGTGGGTGCTTGTCTGGGGCAGGTGGCCCCGGCAACGCCTACTGCGCTGGCGCTGGCCGGCTCTGAGGGAGGATGTCTGGGGCAGGAGGCCCCACTCTCTTCCCCTTCGGCTTCGATGGAGGCGGCTTCGACTGCCGTGATTGGAGGGGGTCCGGGGAGGGTGATCCCGGGCCATCCCTCAATCTCGGCTGGCGGTATGACGACTCCAACAGCACTGAGGGTCGGGGCGGAAGGAGTGCTTGGACAGGTGGTCCCGGTACCTTCTACCCCTGGCCCCCTGACTGCCGGAGGTGGGAGCCGTCCGGCACTTCCTCTCGTGACTGGTGCCTCTCGGGAGGAGGTTGTTGCGTTTGGCGGAATCCCTGATCCGGTCTCCGAGGGGCGGCGGATGAGTTCCCGTCTCCTGGATCATCCGGAGGTTGACGACATGCAGCAGAGGTGCGCTGCGAGGGCGGCCAAGCTTCGTGGTATCGAGGCCACTTCCGGTATGTCGGTCAATTTATCCAATTCCATTATGCATTTTTCTACGGATGAGATTATTCATAATGCGACTCAAGTAGGGATTTCGCTAGGGAATAATAATGCTGAAATTTCCAACTCGGTTAATGATCTTTTGGATCTGGAGGCGGATCGCGCATTAGAAACCATTCGAAACCTAGCGGCTGTGCGTCCTATGACTGACGCTGAGATTGGTACGTTGGGAGTAAGAGTGCTAGACACCTTGTGTGCGGACCTTGCACCATCTTGTAATGAGCTAGACGAGGAGGACACCAACGTAGAGGTTGACGTCCTTCAACCAACACTGCCCGGTTATGAGGACCGGATGGTGGACAATGACAAATCTAAACGTAAGTGGAAGCGAAAGGTGTATCCAGCATCCGCGGTACGTAGAAGCGCTAGGATTCGTACGGCAAAAAAATTCCATGATGAAGTATGAAAGGAATCTTTTGGAATAGCAGAGGTCTTAAGGACTTGGCTAAAAGAAGGTTTCTTGCTGAGGCATCTTTGGTGCACAGATTAGACTTCATTGCTCTCTCCGAAACTGGAAGAGACAACTTTTCACCGC